GGAGGTGTGTTTGCTCAAGACCCTAATCTGTTAAGTGCCAATATAGTTTTATCTGGTGCCAGCTACATGGCAGGTAGAGAGAATGCAGGGCATGGAGTGGTGGGAAATGAAGGCACTGGTCTGTGGTCTCCAGATAAGGACACCTGGCCATTCAGACCTAACAGAGACCCGATTACACCGCCCATTGGATGACCATAGGAGAGGCAGACATAGATGTAGTGATAGAGGAAAAGATAATGACAGACACCAAACCATGGAATTGAGGTTTGGGGCACCAGTGGCATGAAGTTTTCCACCAGCTTCTGTTCCCCCTGGGTCCATTTTACAGGGTATTTATTGAGTAGAGTACAGGTGCATACACAGAAAATGAAGTCACAGTTTAAAGTCAGTATAGTTTTACTCACATGATAAATGACATTTTTTATCTTAAGAAAAAGGTGTGCAGCAAAAGCAGCAAATGACTTACAGTTAGCATAGGTTTTTGTCTCTCCGCACATTCCCAGAAAGTTTGCTGTGGAAATCGCCTATACCTGGGTAAAAATGTGAATTCCCTTCAAGATCAGACTGACAAACTTCAGCATTCTGAGAGTTCATGTTGGGAGGAGCCATTCCATTCTCCCATCCTTTCGGGCCTCACAGCTTGGCTTTGGAGGGCTCTCACAATTTCCCTTTTCTATTATTTCAGAAAGCACAATTTTCATTTCCGTTTGAGTGAGCATACACTGGATGCTAGAAGATAAACATTGAAATATGCAGAATAATCCCTAAAATAGAGATTAGCGGGCCCAGAAAAGGCAAAAACCATCCTGAAAGTCCCCAGTTCTCACCGAATTTTAACCTTTTCAGCTCCTGTGTGAGCTGTGCTAGCCGATTCTGAATCTTTAGAGAATTGTAAGTTATATTAAAGCAGCACAGTCCTGCAAACTGTTCACATCCTAAATGATTTTTAACAGTAAACAATCTATGGCAGCTCGATTTTTTTTTAAGATTCCTGTTCTTAACTCCTTCATTTCCTGATTTATTTCTTCCAAAATTATAGCTGTGACCTTTGTCATTTGGTTGAAAACACAAGCCGGCCCGTTGAATTTTTTTTTTACACCCCATATTTTGACAAGGGACAGGCAGCATAAAAGCTGAAGCTATAGCCAGCTCAGCAGTATTTAACAGCACAAGGTTGTCATCACATTTTCTGGGGAGATGATGCCTCAAATGTCCCTTATTCTGATGAGTCAAATTACTAAGTAACAGAGGCACCACTCTCCCAACATTGCAGAGTCCTGAATAATTTGTCTTCAGAGCACCATATGCCTTTCCTCCACAAAATACCAGTCCACTAAAGCATGCATGAGAGGCAAGTAAAACCGTTTCTGTTGGGAGCTGAGGTGAGCGTTAGAGGGAGGGACAATAGAGATGGTGATTGTTGGTGAATATGGTCACAGTACATTTTTGTGTGTGCTGGTCTTGGTACTTGAAGTCAGGGCCTTAGTAAGGATCCAGATGACTTCTTTTAAATATTGGACTGTTTTTGAGCACTCAGTGAAGAATCACCTTTGTTGAAGGTACAGAATCCAGATCTCCTTTCTGCCAACTACTCAGATCCCTCAGAGAGACAATTCAATTAGAATCAACATAGTTGATTACTTGTCTCCTGGTCATCTACTCCTTCAAAAGATGGGACATTCCTTGGGCCCATTTTCTGAAGGTGTTGTAATTGATATGTTTGTACAGTATATTACCTGCCTTTTTTTTTTTTATAGGTCATGGGGTTTGAACCCAGGACCTAGGTGCTTTTCTGAGCTTTCTTAATTCAGGGTGATGCCCAGGATTTCTGTACCATGACAGGGCAGCACCAAGTACAGTAAAAGTGACATGAACACTTGTTCTGTGTAGGGTGGACAGGCACTTCATTCATTAGAGTGGAGAAAGGGGTGGCCTTCCCTGCTTCTGGATAAACCCACTTTGTCACATCAGGTAGGAACACTAGAAATGAAAGACTTAAAGCATAATGTCCAGCCGGATGCCAATGGCTCATGCCTATAATCCTAGCTACTCAGGAAGCTGAGATCTGAGGATCGTGGTTCAAAGCCAGCCCAGGGAAAGAAAGGCCATGAGACTCATCTTCAATTAACCACCAGAAAACTGGAAGTGGCTCAAGTGGTAGGGTGCTAGCATTGAGCTGAAGAGCTGAGGGACAGTGCCCAGGCCCAGAGTTCAAGCCCCATGACCAACAACAGCAACAAAAAAAGCACAATGTCCACACTATAGGAAGAACAGAATTGTAATATCACTATTCAAGTCTAAAGTTCCCTGTTTACAGCAACTAAACACCCCACCCCAGTCTGTAAACATTTGATTTTCTGCTATTCATGTAAATATTCATTCACTATACTCCATAAACAGACCACAGATTCACATCTTTGTGGTGTCCTGCATCCCAGGAGGTGTTTCCATTTGGATGGCATATTAACTGGCATGACATTGATCCACTCTGTCTTTGAGAGGTGAAATATGCAGTTCAGAAGAAGCATTCTGCATGGTCTCCAGACCCCTGGGGTTTGTTGTGGCAGGCAATACCCTCTCCAGGTCAGCACTGAGTAGAGGGCACCTGGAACACTGAGGGAGGGCCGGTCAGTACACCCAATGCCAGTGTCATTTTGGCATCAGGATAGGTGTGTGTATTAATGATTCTCAGTGTCCTAAACTTGAACTTTGAAAAACAAATCAGAGCAGACTAGAGAGGGAAATCATCTCAAAGAACAATACCTGGCTGTTGGGTGAGATCTGTTGGAAAGTGCCAGGCCACCTAGGTGGGACCTGGAGGACCCTGCGAAGTGAGCATGGTGGGGAGTTGGGGGGTGGGGGCTGCGAGATCAGGGGGACCTGGCACTAGACTGAGGGAGGAAGTGCAACCACCATGAATGACAAATACTAGAATGCTGAATTTGGGGAATCTGAGCGGCTTGTGCTGTTTAAACAGCTTTGTGGAAATTCTCAGCGAAGGGAATGAACTTCATCAAGTTGGCAAAAGACTGAGGATTTCTATAAGAAGTGGTGGAGAGCAGACCGTGAGCTGGGGAATTACAAAGATCTTTTGATGAAAGCAGAATCTGAGCATAGTGCTCTTGATGTTAAGCTGAAGCATGCATGTAATCAAGTGAAACTAGAGATCAGTGGAGACAATGAGCTGAGGCTGACTGTGAGAAGCTGGAAAGACAAATTCAGCTGGTTTTGGAGATGCTCATGTGTGACACATCTGGCAGCATTCAACTAAGTGAGGAGCACAAATGAGCTCTGGCTTTTCCCAATAAGGGCCAACCATCCAGTGGCAATGCTGGCAAGAAAAGACTATCAACTACTGAGGAATCCGGTTCCATTTTCATCAGATATCAGCTTTGACAAGACTGATGAATCACTGGACCGGGATTCTTCCATGGTGAGGAATTTTAAATTGAGGAAAAAGAGAAAAGAGTTACTCTAGTAGCTCACAGTTTGTTGAAAGAAAACTTGTTCCATTGGCTCCACAGTAGACCAGGGGAATGAATCCATAGTTGCAAAAACTACAGTGACTGTTTCCAATGATGGTGAGCCCATTGAAGCTGTGTCTATTATTGAGACAGTGCCGTACTGGACCAGGAGGCGAAGGTAAATAGGTACTTTACAAACTTGGAACAGTGACTCCACCCTTAGCAGCAGGCCACTGGAGTCAAGAACTGAGACAGACCATTTGGGCATGCCACAAACAAATGGAGGAATGCGCCTCCATGACTTTGTCTCTGAGACGGTTATTAACCCTGAATCTTGTGTTCCAGGTGGAAAGCGGATAAAATTTGGCCAACTGTCTCTGAAGTGTCAAGATTGTCCAGTGGTCTCTCATCCAGAATGTGGGGACCGCTGGCCTCTTCCCTGCATCCGTCCCCTTACAGGAACACCTGTCAAGATTGGAGAGGGAATGTTGGCTGATTTTTGTGTCCGGCATCTCCAGCGATCCCTTCCATTATTGCCCACTGTGTAAATGAGAGTGAACAGAGAGGGCTGACTGAGACAGGATTGTATAGGCTCTCAGGGTATGATTGGACAGTGAAAAAGCTGAAAGAGAAATTGAAAACAGTATCTCTCCTCAGCAAAGTGGATGATTTCCATGCCTTCTGTAGCCTTCTAAAAGACTTCCTTCAAAGCCTCAAAGAACCCCTTCTGATCTTTCAGCTAAACAAAGCCTTTTTGGAAGCAGCAGAAATCCCAGATGAAGATTACAGCTAGCTGCCAGGTACCAGGTTGTCAGTGAACTGCCCCAGGCCAATAGGGACACATTAGTCTTCCCATGATTCACTTGCAGAGAGTGGCTCAGAGTCCAAACACTAAAATGGATGTTGCCAATCTGGCTAAAGTCTTTGGCCCTATGATAGTTGCCCATGCTGTGCCCATTCCAGACCCAGTGACAGTATTATAGGAGGTCAAGCATCACCCCAAGGTGGTAGAGGGTCTGCCTTCATTTCCCTTGGAATATGGAGTCAGTTCATGATGGTGGAGCAAGAGAATATTGAGCCCCTGCATGTCATTGAAAATACAAATGCCTTTTCAACACCACAGGCACCAGATATCAAAGTGAGCTTCATGGGGCCTGTGACCACGCCTGAGTACCAGTTTCTCAGGACTCCTTCAGGTTCCTGGTCACAGAGAGTCTGCTCCACCCTCAGCAAGAACACTCCCAGATTTGGGAGCAAAAGCAAGTCTGCCACCAGCCTAGGATGACAATGCAACCTTTTTGCTCCTCCAGTCCTCAAGTGAAGTCATCTTGCCAGCATTTACTGACTGCAAAAAAGGGCACATGTGTACTCTCTGCTCTGCAGGATCCTGTACTCATTACTACTTTTAGCATTCCCTAGGCTTTTAATCAAATTTAATTGTGCATGAGGGTTTTATTAAATATATATATATATATATATATATATATATATATATATATATATATATATATCCCTCTCTTTCTTCTCTAGTAACATAATATCAGCATCTTGTGCTGGTTGTTGTTAGAGACTTTCAGATGAGAGATCTTTTCCACAGGGGTAGATAGAAGGGATAATATGGAATTCATTGTGATTCTTTTTGGGACAAAGACATCATTCTGACTTAAAACCCTTTGACGGGGTTGGGAAGGTGGCTCAGTGGTAGAGCGCTTGCCTTGAATGCATGAGGCCCTGGGTTCGATTCCTCAGCACCTCATAAGCAAAAAGAAAAAAGCCGGAAGTGGCACTGTGGCTCAAGTGGTAGAGCACTAGTCTTGAGCTGAAGAGCTGAGGGACAGCACCCAGGCCCAGAGTTCAGGCCCCACGACTGGACCCAAAAACAAAACAAAACAAAACAAAAAACCCTTTGACTTCTTTGAAACCCTACATCTTTGGTAAGAACAACTTATGTCAGGGCAGGAAGTGAGAGGGCTGGGTAAAGAAAGGATTGGGTAGGGGATGCAGGATGGCTGCCTCTCAACACTGAAGTCCCTTTTCTGTCGAATTGAGCTATAGCATGGAGCCTGAAGAAAAATGGGATAGGTTGAGAACAGAGCTAGTGGTGGAAGAATGTTTAGCTTTAATATGGGCTGATTAGATCTTAGTATAAAATGGCACAACCTTACAATACTATGACTTGTATTTATCTCTAATGGTCTACTGGCTGGACTTTGGACTTGGTTGGGGTCAGCACTTATTTGTTCTTCTAAAGTTGAATTATTCTGATGGTTGACTCTCTTACCCCTCGCCTAACATGGTCCTGTTTCCAAAGGTCAGTTTGCTATCTGTCTGACCTAACAAGATTCGCTTGTAAAGGAAGAGTGTCAATATTTTGTGTGGCAATAAAAGCCACAGTCATTTTTTGCTTTTGCATGTGGGATGCTGAATTTTCCCATCAAACAGTCACATCTAGGTAAACATGAGTTTTTTCTTCTGTCAGATTATTCCCAATATCTGTAAAAATGGTTTTCTTCTGTAGACTGTTTCTTACTCATATTGACCTTTGTCTATAAGACTCATATTTGGGGGGAGTTCTCAAGATGGCGACGGGGCAGTAGGGAAACGCCACAGCTCTCTCCAACCAAAAAGAGAGTTCGAGTTCCAACCTTTAATCTCCCCAAGAGACCGACAACAACAAAAAGACGAACACTCAGAGAAAAACCAGAGGTGGAAAATAACAAAAAAAGAAAGAGAGGAAAAGAAGAATTTCAGAACAGAGAAGAGCGAAGACCCCTCCCCCAACCTTTACTGGCCGCGCGGCAGTGCGCCAAGCCGCCGGCCAGCCGGCCCGGCGGGGGCTGCCGGAGCCACAGAGACACAGGGGGCTGCTTGCAGATCACCAGGTACCGGATTGCAGAACAGCGGATCGCCAGGAACAGAGAAACCTACCAGCCGGGAGTCTCCAGGAGGATCCCACCCCACCCATCACTCTCCACCGGAGCGGAGAGGCTCCATCCCGCCAAAGCCGCCCGGCACCAGCAGCGCCACAAAGGGACCTGTCCGCAGACCACCCGCCCAATCGCGATGGCAACGACCCGGAGGGGGGCCGCCCAACCCAGCCCGCAACCACCCCAACTGAACTCGGACTGCAACAACAACTGACGGACTGCAACAACAACTGACGACCTACAGGGTGAGTACCCATCAGGGGACAGGGAATCCATCAAGGGAGACCAGAGCTGGAGGGAATCCCCAGACCCTGACCTAGACTCCCTACCCCAACACCCGGACCACAGGACCCACTAAAACTGGGAACTGTTCGAGAGCCCCACCAGCCGGTGGAGCACACTCTGCTGGCCAGGCCAGAGCAAGAGCGCCCCGGGAAGGGAGCTTAAATGCTCAAGCCAGGAACAGTGCCCCTGGGTCAAGACTACCAACAGTAGAAGAAATTTGAACTGTGTCCTCCAGGCTGCATAACCAAGGTGGTATACACATTAGCACAGGCCTAACGAGCGCGCTCCAGGCTGGGGCCGGAACCAGGCCAGGGGACCGGCGCCTGAACAAAGCAAAAAGGGTCAGAAGTGGGGCTGTGGCTCAAATGGTAGGGTGCCAGCCCTGAGCTGAAGAGCTGAGGGACAGCACCCAAACCTAGAGTTCAAGCCCACAACCAGCCCAAAACAAACAAACAAAAACACATCAGGAGCCCATAGCAGACTCCAGTATTTGGGAGAGTGCATCCAGAGCATCTGATCTTCCCAAGAGCACCCGCAGGAGCAAACACAAGCAGTCTAGGCTGCTCAACCCTTCCAAAGGCGGGAATTGCTACAGCAGAGAGCTGAGAATCCTAAGTGAATAGCAGCTGGAAATAGGCTCCCAACAGAATCCAGATCAGACACAGACTCTCTCTACCAATAGAGAATCAGCAACCAAGCAAAGACAGACACACCAAAACAAGATTGAAGAGCAGTCTCCTGAACCCCCATGCGAAAATCACAGAGAAAAATCACAAGGTTTACCACTACCCAGGACAGCAAGCTCACCTCAAAAGCCAGCAGCCACGCAGGGGAGAGCCCCAGTGGGAGCAAAGCAGGAATGGAAGACAAAAACTACATCCAAGGGTTGCTGGAGGCAATGACTCAAGAAATAAAGCGAGAAATGGATCAGAAATTGAAAGAGCACAAGGATGAACTATCAAAAGATATACAGGATATCAAACAAAAATTGGATGCAAAAATAGAAGCTGCACAAACCTCAGTAAGAAGTGAGATAAACGCCAAATTAGAGGTAATGCATACTGATATCACCTCATTGAGAGGTGAGATCAGTACTCTGAGAACCAACATTGAATCCATAAAGGGATCCATTTCCACCATGCAAACCACAATAGAAGCCACGGTCAACAGAGTGAATGAAATGGAAGGTAGAGTGTCAGATACAGAAGACAGAATACACCAACTGGACCAAAAAGTGACAGATATGGAAAAATCACTCAAATTAAACCAAAGGGAAGTTCAAGAGCAAGCAGATAATGCTAAAAAATTTAACCTTCGCATAATCGGAGTGGACGAAGGTGAGGAATTCCAGAGCAAGGGAATGCAACACCTATTTAACAAGATAGTCAATGAAAATTTTCCCCACCTCAAAAACGACCATCTTAACTACATCACAAAAGCTTATCGAACACCCAACAAGCAAGATCCCAGGAGAAACACTTCTAGGCACATAATAGTAACAATGATGGATCTGAATAATAAGGAAACAATCCTGCATGCAGCAAAAATGAAGAAGGAGCTATACTACAACGGGAAAAAAATTAGAATCACTGCAGATCTCTCCACACAAACAATGAATGCAAGAAAAGCCTGGGAAAGCACCATACGAGCCCTGAGAGCCAATAACTGCCAACCCAGACTGATATACCCGGCAAAGCTAGCATTCACATTCGATGGAGAACTGAAAACTTTTAATAGCAAAGAAAAACTAAATGAATACATAAACATTAAGCCAGCATTACAAAGAATTCTAAGAGGGGGGACACAACCTGAAGAAAGCAACCAGGAACTGGGACCTGCCCCAAACAGGCATTACTCAAAGTCTAACTGAGCAAGCACAGGAGGAAAGGAAAGAAGAAAAACTTAGGAAAACGGAATGGCAGGGACAACAATGCATCTCTCTATACTTTCTCTTAATATAAATGGGCTGAATTCGCCAATTAAAAGAAAACGAACTGAGGACTGGATCAGAAAACAAGACCCATCCATCTGTTGCCTTCAGGAGACCCACCTCTCAGCCAAACATACAAACAAACTCAGAGTGAAGGGGTGGAAAAGGATCTACCAATCAAATTCCCCCAATAAGAAAGCAGGTGTAGCTATCCTGATATCTGACAAAATAAACTTTTCATTAAAATCAGTACAGAAAGACAAGGACGGACATTACATATTAATAAAGGGAACAATCCAAGAGGAGGATATAACCATCATCAACTTATATGCCCCAAATATCGGTGCACCCAGATATGTTAAACAAATGCTCTCAAACTTACAGAATAAAATAGATCCCAATACGATAATACTAGGAGACTTTAACACACCACTCTCACCAAAGGACAGGTCTACCAACCAGAGGATTGGCAAAGAAGCTACCGAATTAAGTGAGGCCATACTTCAAGCGGAATTAACTGACATCTACCGAGTATTTCACCCTAAAACAACACAGTACACATTCTTCTCAGCAGCTCATGGAACTTTCTCCAAAATAGACCATATCATAGTTCATTCAAGGAACTTAAGCAAATACAAAGGGATCGACATAATCCCCTGTATCCTATCTGACCACAGTGGAATCAAGCTAGCTCTCAATAACAAAGCATACCGCAGAAATTTCTCTAATACATGGAAATTGAACAGCACACTCCTTAACAAGGCCTGGGTAACAGAAGAGATCAGAGAAGAAATAAAGCATTTCCTAGAACTCAATGAAAATGAAAACACCTCACAAAGAAACTTGTGGGACACAGCAAAAGCAGTCCTGAGGGGCAAATTTATTGCCCTCAGTGCCCACATCAAGAGAATGGAGACAGACCAAGTAAATAATCTCATGTTGCAACTAAAACAGCTAGAAAAACAAGAAAAAATGGGACCTAAAGCTACTAGACGAAGCCAGATAACCAAATTGAGAGCAGAGATTAACCAATTAGAAAATCAGAAAACCATAACCAAAATAAACCAAACAAAAAGCTGGTTCTTTGAAAAAATAAACAAAATTGATGGCCCGTTGGCAAGATTAATTAAAAAAAGAAGAGAGGAAACCCATATTAATAGGATTAGGGATGCCACGGGAAACATCACAACACGTACCCAAGATATCCAAACAATTCTAACAGACTACTTTCAAAAGCTATACTCTCTAAAGGAAGAAAATCTGGCGGAAATGGATGCATTTTTAGAGAAATACAAGTTACCCAAACTGAGCAAAGAAGAAGTTAACCAATTAAATAAGCCAATATCCTATAATGAGATACAGGAAGCTATCAAAAGTCTTCCAACAAAAAAAAGCCCAGGACCAGATGGATTCACAGCAGAATTCTATAAGACCTTTAAAGAAGAACTAATACCCATACTCCTCAAGCTCTTCAGAGAAACAGAGAAGGAGGGAGCTATCCCAAACTCATTCTACGAAGCCAATATCACACTCATCCCCAAACCAGGCAAAGACCCAACCAAAAAGGAGAATTACAGGCCAATCTCCTTGATGAACACAGATGCAAAGATCCTTAACAAGATTCTAGCTAACAGAATCCAGAAACACATAAAAAAAATAATACACTATGATCAGGTAGGCTTCATCCCAGAGACACAGGGATGGTTTAACATACGTAAGTCAATAAATGTAATCCAGCATATCAACAGAGCCAAGGTCAAGAATCACATGATTATCGCCACAGATGCAGAAAAGGCCTTTGATAAAATTCAACATTCATTCATGCTAAAAGCTCTGGAGAAAATAGGAATAGAAGGAACATTTCTAAAAACAATAAAAGCCATTTATGACAGACCAATAGCCAATATTATACTTAATGGGGAAAAGCTACAACCAATCCTCCTAAAAACAGGAACAAGGCAAGGATGTCCACTGTCTCCACTCCTCTTCAACATAGTCCTAGAACCCTTAGCCAGGGCAATAAGGCAAGAAAAAGACATTAAAGGGATCCGCATAGGGAAAGAAGAAGTGAAACTATCCCTTTTTGCAGACGACATGATACTATACCTCCACGATCCCAAAAACTCCATCCCCAAACTTTTAGAAATCATAAGTCACTTCGGCAAAATAGCAGGATACAAAATAAACCCACAAAAATCAGTTGCCTTCCTATACACTGATAACGCACAGGAAGAGAGGGAAATAAAGGGAGCAACCCCATTCACAATAACCTCCCAAAAAATAAAATATTTAGGAATTAACCTAACCAAAGATGTAAAAGAACTATTTAATGAGAACTATAAAAAGTTAAAGAAAGAAATTGCAGAAGACACTAGGAAATGGAAAGACCTCCCATGCTCCTGGATAGGCCGACTTAATATAGTAAAGATGGTGATACTTCCAAAATTAATATACAAATTCAATGCAATTCCTATTAAAATCCCAATGACGTACATCACTGAAATACAGAAAACAGTCCCAAAATTTATATGGAACAACAAAAGACCTAGAATAGCCAAAACAATTCTAGGGGATAAAGACAATATGGGAGGGCTATCCATGCCGAACTTCAAACTCTACTACAGAGCTATAATCACAAAGACAGCATGGTACTGGCACAAAAACAGACCCGAAGACCAATGGAACAGAATAGAAGATCCAGATATAAATCCACAGGCCTACAGCCAGCTGATATTCGACAAAGGAGCCAAAGACATACAATGGAAGAAACACAGCCTCTTCAACCGCTGGTGCTGGGAAAACTGGGCAGCCACATGCAGAAAACTAAAAGTGGACCCCAGCCTATCACCATGCACCAACATCAACTCAAAATGGATTAAAGACCTTAACATTAAACCTGAATCTCTGAAACTACTGCAGGACAGAGTAGGAGAGACACTTGAACTAATAGGCACAGGAAGGAACTTCCTGAACAGAGTCCCAGGGTCACAACAAGTTGGAGAGAGACTCGACAAATGGGACTACCTTAAAATAAAAAGCTTCTGCACAGCTAAATCTATCGCAACTAAGCTAGAAAGACAACCAACTAATTGGGAAAAAATATTTACCAGCAATATATCAGACAAGGGGTTAACATCCTGTATATACAGGGAACTCAAGAAACTAATCCCTCCCAAACCTAACAAACCAATTACTAAATGGGCAAGGGAACTAAAGAGGGACTTCTCAAATGAAGAAATAAAAATGGCAAAGAAACACATGAGGAAATGTTCATCATCCCTGGTGGTGAAGGAAATGCAAATAAAGACAACCCTGAGATACCACCTTACCCCAGTCAGAATGTCCCACATCCACAAATCAGCCAACGACAAATGCTGGAGGGGATGTGGAGAAAGAGGAACCCTATTACACTGCTGGTGGGAATGTACACTTATACAACCACTTTGGAAAGCAGTCTGGAGGGTCCTTAGAAAGCTAAAGATTGACCTCCCTTACGACCCAGTCATACCACTTCTAGGCATCTACCCTGAACAACAGGAACCAATATACAAGGACACGTGCACCTCCATGTTTATTGCAGCACTGTTCGCAATAGCTAGGATATGGAAACAACCTAGGTGCCCCACCACAGATGAATGGATCCAAAAATTGTGGTATCTATACACAATGGAATATTATGCAGCCATTAGAAATGACAAAATAATGGCATTTGCAGGGAAATGGATGGAGCTAGAAGGAATCATGTTGAGCGAGGTAAGCCAAGAACGAAGAGACAAACGGTACATGGTCTCCCTCATAAGTGGATGCTAAATCCAAAAGGTTAGTGATACGACAAAACTAACAGGACTTAAGAAACAAAGAACTCCCGCTCATCTGGTTGAACCACTACTAAATATCCTCATGCTGCTGATCACAAATATGGTATATAACATGTGAACACTGTTATATATTACAGACTGTGGTAGACAATTTGCTCCAGGGAAGTTAGAATGAACTTGTGACTTTGAAATTATGTAATCATTTAATCACAATCAAAAAAAAAAAAAAAAAAAGAACCTCGGGGAAGGGAGGGAGGGAGGGGATGGTAGGGGGAAAACAATGGAGGGGGTAACAATGTTCAAGAGGAAGTGTACTCATAACCTCACTCATGTAACTGTGACCCTCTGTATAGTAGCTTTACAATAAAAAAATAAAATAAAAAAAAAAAAGACTCATATTTGGAATAATATTAGGAAAGACTAAATAGCCTTTTCAAACACACACACATACACACACACACACACACACACACACACACTCCCTAAGTCTATGGATTGTGGGAGGGGTGGGTGAAGGGTGATAAGGGTCTTCCACTATAAATTGGAATTACGAATAACTACACATGGAAAAGATGCCAATCAAATCCTCTCTGCACTAACCAGAGCCAGACACTGGAGAATGTAATGTGGAGTCTCCCAACCCTGGGTCTAACTCATCACAAATCTCGACCCCTGTAGCAGTGACAGACATGGCAGGCCTGCAGCTCCAGTTTCTTGCTCCTTTGCTCTGCAGCACAGAGAGATCCATTTGATCCATGTGGGAAGTCCCAGAGTGGATGGGGAATGCTTAAAGCAATGATTCAGAGAATTCCTAGGCCCAAGGCAGATCTGTAAGAGGGAAAAGAAATTGAAAAGCAGGAGAAAACCTGGACATCGCTGCTCACATTCTGTATGGGTCTGCTCTGAGCAATTCTCTCTGCAGTGGGTCTGCTCTGAGCAATTGTCTCTGCAGTGACTTTGTAATCAGCTTGGAATCAGGGACAGACAGAAATGGTTGATCATATCTTTATGACAGGGACCAGAAATGATCCCCTAGGAATATTACTGCCTCCTCAGGATAGACCACCAACCAGGCAAGAAGGAAACAAGGACTTACTCATTCTGATCAGTGATGACAATCTCTCTGGGAGGACTGAAATTCTGACAAACCAGGCTATACTTTGAGAAGAACATATCCATGCCTCTTTTTCCCTTCCAAAATTCCTTTTAATCTTACAACTCATGTCTGTACCCCAAGGGTGGCTGAAGAGACACTGAACTGCTATCTTTCAAGGGTAAATCTGGATCTTATAATAATAAATTGTCTTTCTCTGTGCATTTTTTTTTTCTTTATAAGTTATGGGGCTTGAACTCTGGGTCTGCACACTGTCCCTGAGCTCTTCAGCTCAAGGCTAGAGCTCTACCACTTGAGCCACAGCACATCTCCGGTTTTCTGGTGGTTAATGGAAATAAGAGTTTCACGGCCTTTTCTGCCTGGACTTGCTTTGAACTGCAATCCTCAGATCCAGCCTCTTGAGTAGTTAGGATTACAGATGTGAGACACTGGCGTCTGGCTTTTTTCCTCTGTGCCTCTTTACCATGTCTTCTCAGGTGGTGTTTCAGTTTCTTCCCTTAGGAGAGACTGGGCAGCCAGGCACTTGTGCCTCATGCCTATAATCCTAATTACTCAGGAGGCTAACCTCTGAGGATCAAGGTTCAAAATTAGGGTGAGCAGAACAGTGTCTGAGACTCCAATTTCCAGTTAACCAGCAAGAAAGCTTACCTGGAGATATAAAGTTGTACAACGCACTAGCACTGAGAAAGTGAGCCCCATCAACCCCCCTCCAAAAAAATGGGAGGAGGAGAGCTCAAAGAAAGCCTGCTATACATTGTAACCATATATAAATATACATATATAATAATTCCTTAGAGATGCTCAATTGTAGTTGATATAAAATTAAAGATAGCAATGTTCATAAGTCAATAGACGTTAACTGATTTGAATAAAACGGGAAAACAACCAGATGTTATGAAATTTATAGACAATAGCAAAGCTTCTAGTATAAATATCAATGATGTGTTAGCATAGAAAAGAAGTTGAACACTAAACAATACAAAAAAAGGAAAGCCCATGAAATAAAAACTTTGAAGTTTTTCAAAATTTAAATCTCGTGCTTCCTGAATGACTCAAAAAAAAAAATGGACGAAATATACACCCAAAGAAAATATTTACAAGTCACACATGTGACAAAGTGCTAATATCTAGACTATATAAAGTTCTCAAAACTCAGCAGTAAAAACAAATTAAAAAGTAACCAGTAGATATGACAAGAGAAAACAGAAAAGATGTATTCATAGTAAAGGAAAAACTATCCTGCATACCAAAGTTGAAAGAAAATGTTTTTACCAACTAAACTTTGTAAAATTTATTTAAACAAGTACCATCACACCACCACAACAAAAGAAATTATTCATGAATAAAGTAATTCCAAAATCCAGAGCTGGTTGTGAGAATACCAGCCATATAAATAGACAGCATTTTTAGGAAAACAAATTTGAGTCATAGAAAACAAATCACCTGGGGCTGGGAAGGTGGCTCAGTGGTAGAGCGCTTGCCTTGCATGCCTGAGGCCCTGGGTTCGATTCCTCAGCACCACCTAAGCAAAAAGAAAAAAAAGCCGGAAGTGGCACTGTGGCTCAAGTAGTAGAGCGCTAGCCTTGAACTGAAGAGCTGAGCGACAGCGCCCAGGCCCAGAGTTCAGGCCCCACGACCGGACCCCCTGCCCCCAAAAAAAGAAAACAAATCACCTGACTATAGCCAAGTCAACTGACCAGCCCAGTGAATGGAGGATAACTACTTAATTGTTTGCAATTGAATCAGATAACTAGCTCCAGGGCTTTTGCACAGTATTGAAGCTCACTTACTATGGTTTCACCTTTTATTAGTTTGGTCTATTACATCCGGTCGAGAACCCAGTCCAAATGCATGGTGTCCTACAAAGTATAACTTGACACTAGCCACCAGGGAAATACCAGTCAAAAATCAAGATATCATCACATACCTCCTAAAACAAATAAAATAACCACTGAGGACATATCCCATTTTGGCTAAGAGGCAGATAAGTCAGATCTCTCACACTTTGCCAGTAAGATGGCACATTACTACTCTGGAAATAGATTGGTCATTTCCTTAAAAGTAGTGCACATGTTTATTATATAACCCAGCCATCATTCTCCTGAGTGTATATTCGAGGCAAAGGAAAACATAGGTTCACACAAAATCTTATATATATTCATAGCAGCTTTATCAATAATAAACCCGATAAGGCGCTGGCGGATTGCACCTGTTGTTGTATGGGAATTCAGTCACAAGAAAGAGAGAACTCACATTTTGCAAGGTTTAATTGGTAGTCTTTGTTAGGAAGTTGGCAACTGCAGGTGGACTCCTGTATCAAGGATCTGCAGCCCAGAATGTCACTTACACAAAGCTTTTATAGGCAAAAGCCCACATAACCAGTGTGAGAGATTAATTCTATCAAAAGTAGTACGCATAAGCAGAGCAAACTTGGTGAGGATACTTAATCCTAACAAAAGTGTTATATATGTAGGCAGAGCAAATTATCCAGGGGAACAATCGGGGCAATCAGAACCCAATTATCTAGGAGAAGCAAGACTTTCTGGGAGATTAACAACTCATGAACCATCTGCAATTTGAAGAAGGTTCTCTATTACCTCTAGAGCTCTCAAAAAATACCCATCTTTTTTTTTTAACTTCTCTTAAGATGCCAAGATGGCAACACTAAATGTCTTTATTTCACCAGGAGCAAATGTCACCCAGTGTATTTCCTATACCGAAGCATTTTGACCAGGTGGCCAGCGGCATCATCACCACATGCCTAGGAAACCACAGCATGGAGGCAGCAGACAGGACACAGGTGCTGGAGCACTGGATCCAAGTAGCCTTGGATCCAGTTATGCTGCAGGAGGGGCTCTGTGCCCCACTTCCCTTTCCTGCCCTCAACATGTTCACTCACAGCCCACTGCCTCAGTTCTCAGTCTGTCTCATGCCCTGTCCTTCCTTGGGCTGACTGCAATCCTACTCTAGTTCAACTAGGATCCTGCCATCTTCCCTACCTCCCCCACCCCAGCCCCTGGACAAAAGCAGGACCACAAGGAGCTCCCTTCTCAGCTCAGCTCACACAGTCATCATCCCTATGAATGCTGCCTGCTAATGCTGTCTGCTGCCTCTATGCATTGCTGTGTGCTCCCTCTATGCATTCCTATCAGCTCCACAGAGAAGGCCTGAAAAGGACATGGAAAGCAGTTTCCAGGTGAGTGGGCCTCTCTTCTCAGCAACTATGGGTTCCTCAGCTTAGCATCCCTCCTCTGGAAGTCCATTGGCAATCCCCCAGAACACATGCTGCAGTTCTGCACAACTCAGACATCTGGAGCCTTGCCCAGGATTTCCC